GTTGTATTTCTGTTGTGCAAAATGCATGTACTTTGAATGGTATAGCGGTGAAGAAAAAGAAGCAAATAGTAGAAGAAACAACCTCAATGCAGAAAGAGAACAAGTTAATGCCAGAAATGGAGATGGCATTCCAGTTAGGCAAGTTGTGGGGCCAATGCAACAGCCAAAGCAATTTTTGATACCAGGACCCTTAGGCAATGCACTGATCATCATAAACCTCACCCTATTATCTATATTTATTTTCATTCAAATTGTATAATCAATTCGATCAACTCATGTTGCTGTGCTGCAATACTGTACCAAGTAATATGATGCCTTTTTGGTGATAGGAGATTCATACCAGAAGGCTAAGTTACTTGGAATTTTTGAAGCACCAATGTGAAACTGTGTATACAGCTTTTTAGACTTCAGAATGAAGCAATGAATAGCTACATTATTTCTGATTTGTCATCCACTATGCCAAGTTTGCAAACAACATTGTGTGAAAAATAAACAAAAAGACAGATTAAAGATCAAATGCAGAACATTACATTAGCTAAAATGCCAGTTGCATATTAGTTATACAGTATCACGAGTTCTTAATCATTGCAATCCAACAGTACAAAACACCATCTGCATCAAAACACTATATGCAGATAGTGAGGATTGCAATTTCTCAGTTCTTAATCACTGTAAGAAGGCATTAACAAAAGCAGCAACAAAAGAGATTCAAGTAGACATAACTAACAACTGGAATTCAGCACCATCTTGTCAAAACAGCATGCTGAAACTATTGGTATTACTGATTGGTGTGCTATTTGTAGATGCGTTTATGCTAACAGATGTAGCATTTTGAGATGTAGTGGTAGGTGGAACTGGAACAACTGGATTAGTTAGAGCAGAGTTGAAGTTTTTTGTTCTACCATCAATTCTTGTTGCAGAAGTTGCAGGATTGTATCCAAAACGCCTTCCTCTCTGTTACATTTGAGACATAAATTACATCAGAAATAGGAAATAATAGCTACCAATTATGTTATTAACAGAAATTTGGAATAGCATATTAGGATCATACCTTTCTATTAGCATGAATAGTTGCAGTAGTTTGCACATTCACTTGACTATGTGCTACACCATTTTGACTTGGAAGGCTTGGATTACTCCCTTGACTGGAGTGCACAACAGGATAAGCACTATATGCATGATCCTAAAACATGAGATATAAGCTGCAATGAGACAGGCTGTAGATAAACTACTCAGGTGACTCAATTTTGATTATGATAACTGTACTTTACGCAAAGAACTGCTCCTGAGAGAGATGTATTAGCCATTCCTCTACCAGGTCTACCTCTTCTAATTGCCATATGTGATACCAAATTCAATATACCTATAAGTAATAATTAGGAGACAGGGATAATGTCATATTTTGGGCAATGTATACCTGTTCAGTAGGAGTAGTGTTGCTAGAGCTTTTCTGCACAGGTGCTCCTTTGCAAATCATTTTATTATGACCAAAAGCTCCACAATTTTCACACTTAAGAGTGCTTAACCTCTTTGCCTGTGCTGTGCAAGCAGTTTTATCAGATTCCCTTCTTCTATTTACTCTTCGTCTGTCAGGAGCTCTTCTCAGAGGTGGTGGCAAGATGGTCACAGGTAGCACATCAGGTATAGGAGGCTATCTCTTGACATCAGGAATGGGATGAATCATGTGCGAGTATGTTTTTAAATACATGTCTTTAGTGAACCAAACTTTACAGTAGTTCTTTAGTTTTTTTCTCCTATACATAGCTCCTAATGTTGCATGTTTGCATAGAATTCGAGAAATTTGAAAAGCACCATAGTCATAGATTCTTTGCCTCAAGTTGACTATGTAGGTCCTGTCCATATCACCAACCTCAAATGTATCCTCACTAGCCATATGCATCTCACATTTTCTTGATGCTTGGCTAATTTTTTTCAATTTCTCAACAATTTTGGGAGTAATGTGACCAGTCAAGATGCAACTTTTCTAGTACCTTTTGTGCATTTTTTTCGTGAACTTTCTTCTTAAATTATCAACCAAAGTTAGTATTGATTTTCTTCTTAGATCACCAATCCAAGCATTAAAAGACTCAATAAAATTATTTGTGACATGGTCACATTTTAACTCAGTTGAGAATACATGTCTACACCAGGTAGTTTTTGGAATTTTATCCAAATATTTCCAAGCATTTATGTTAAAGTCTTTAATGCTATCCATTGCATCATTATGTCCTATTGCATCATAGTTTTTCGCTGCCTTCCAAAAGAAACTGCTAAATAAGATACCTGGAAATTGACTCTTAAAGTTGCTGCATATATGCCTGCAGCAATGCCTTCCAACTGTCTCAGGAATCATCTCCTCATATGTAAGATTCAATCCCTGTAACCAACACAAAATGACTCAGCAACCATTTTCAAATTAAACATGAAAAGCTACTGGACAGAAATTTTACTTTTTGCCAATCACTCATCAATGTTAAAGGTTTGCTGTGATCAAATGGTCCAAAAAACTCAGAAAAATAGTGGAAGAACCACCTCCAAGTATCCATGCTCTCACATTCAGCTATAGCAAAGGCTAAAGGAAATATGCTATTATTTGCATCCAAAGCAACTGCTGTGAGCAATACACCACCAAATGGACCCTTCAAGAAACAACCATCAAACCCCACAAAAGGCCTGCAACCTTCCAGAAATTCTAACTTTTGTACTCTAAAACTGACAAAGATTCTTAGGAAGGCAGGCTCAACTAAGATATTTGACATATCATAATGTATTTTGCATATGCTACTGGGATTATACTTTCTTAGCAGCTCAGCATATGTTGGCAATTTTGTATATGATTCAGCATGTGTGCCTTTTATCTCAGCTAGTGGTTTGTTTTTAGCTCTAAAAATTTGCATTTTACTAGGCCTCACGCCATACTTCCGCAACTCTGCCTCTACCTCTTTACTAGTCATATTAGGATGATCCCTCATGATAGAAACCAACTTCTTGACCATCCAGTCAGATATGGCCTTAGCACATTGCTTGTCCATAACACAAGTGTGTTCTTGATGATAGCTTTTAATCTGAAAAGTTACTGAATCAGCCACTGGTGAAGCATGAATTCTCTATTGACATCCCTTAACACCACAGATAGCAGTGACTCGACTCTTCTCATTCTTTAATCTCAAAATAGGAAAGCATTTTTGAATGACATAATCTTTCAATGCAGCTCTGAAGGCATCCACATTGGTGAATAACTGACTCTTTTGAAACTTTATCACATCGTTGCTATTGTAAATCCACATTCTTTGTCTCATTACTTGTCTCATAGGATCATTTTCTTCCTCTGATTCAGAATCAGGGACCACAACAAGAGCCTCATTTTCCTCAAAATCAGAAAAATTAGTGTCACTGTCCTCACTATATGCATCTGCTACCCCCCATCAACTACTTCCTTATCAGTATCACTATGCAGGTTGTGTTCCCATGAAGAATCAGAGCTAGAGTCATCATAGTTATCATTCGACTGTCCAATGTCTACAACTACTGCCTTGCCAGGAATTTGTTCAATACCTAAATTATCTTCTTTGTTCATTTCTGTCACATTCACTGAGGTATTATCTTCATCAACTAGAATAATTTTCATATCAGACTCATGCAAGTTAATTATTAATTTAGATTTATGTATTTTGAACATCTCAGTAACTACATCATCATCATTAACATCCATCATGCAATTTTTTCCAGGAACTTCACATCTCATCTGCATAAGCATATTAACATTGCTAGACATTTTACTCAATGCCTTCTCAATTACATCAAATAGCAAGGAGATGTACGTATAGCCAGTTGGATCCACATTTGGTATCCTGATTTTGTTCTCATTACAGTGAACCATAATGTCATAGGCAGCAGCAAGATTCCCCATCCTACAATCTTAGCATTCAAATATGATGATGATCACAACCAAAGCTAGTTTGAGAAAACATCATCTAGAAACTAGAAACATTGGTTATGTAACTCAGCAGCATGCTACTCAACTTTCATTAACATAAGAATAATTATGATCAACTAATCTTCACAGCATACATGTAGCACAAGAGTTCACGGTAGTCTTACACATAATATGCAATGGTTTGAGTTAAGACATAATGATTAACTCAAAAATCCACTTAACAAACAAAATGAATGTTCAATATCAATATTTAGACAAAAGATAGAGATGGAATCGAGCAACACTAGTAAAGGTGTCATGTTAAAAGAGCATCAGCAGTAAAGGAAAATTAAAGGAACAAATAATTTTGTACCTTTACTGCTGTGTTTGCAACTATTTCAAAACAACAAATAATTCTTCACTTTGTAGCCGCTACTCCAATGCATATTAGGACCACTGGTTTGATCACAATTTCCTTTCCATTTTTGTTCTTGTTATTTCCTCTGTTTCTTTTCCTATATCCGGAATGTCGTATAAGATCACATATAAGTGATATGTTATCTTCTTGTCAAATCACAGCAGCCACAAAAATGGTGCCAATATTGCAGCTCAATGGGCGCCTTACTCCCTAATCCTGCTTTAATTCATGTATCAGAAATCAAATTTCTGTTATTGTTGTTAAACTTAATTAATCACTTTAGATGTCTTTTTCTCCAACTAAATGGTAGTAATAAACCCAAACTTCATAGGATATATTTGTAATTTTGGCCTTCATGATGTCAGAAAAGGGGCTCGATTTTCTATCAAGGGAGCTAAGTGAAATTTTGAGAACCTTAGGGGATGTCAGTGAGAGTGTCAGAAACCTAAGGAGAGGTTTCTGAAATTATCCCTTTTGCAAATTTCAAGAAAGGCCGGTTAAATTGTAAAGAAACCTCCTTGAAATTATCCCGTACGAAAATCCTCACACATTACTCGATTTTCATTAATTTCGTGGACTGAACATTACAGGAAAAAAAATGCGACTCTGTAATTTTAGTTCGAAATTCCCGGCGCAACGTTAACTTTCCACTCCGGGCCACGTTTTCAAACTAATACCTCATATTCCTCACCGTTCTCTTTCACACACAGCCGCTCTCACCTCCTTTTTTCTTATTTCTTCCTTCCAATCAAAGCAAAGCAATTTCCTCCAAGTAAAACACCACAATCTGAACTGAACTGGAATTCCCAGAATTCTCCGAAGAAGCCCAAATCTGCCACCAACAGAACCTGGAAAACTCGTTGCCACTCCCAATTCCTGAAACTCGTTATGTTGCCGGAACCCTAGAATATTTCCACCAGTAATCGTCACCATGTCTCCAGCAGCTGCAGATGTTTCACATCCAGTTTCCACATCACAACCCTTTTCTCAAAACCCTAACCCTAGCTTCCCGGGCAGCAATGGTCCGTGCCAACAGCAATCAAGATGCTTCAATTTTGATGATAAGGATTCTGGTAATTGTGATCTCAGCTTTGATTTCTCTAAAAAGGGTTCGGATTTATCAGGCCAGCAGAAGCCTCCGAGGATCAGGGTTCCGGTCAAGAAGAAACGGGGAAAGTTAACCAGTTCTGAAAATAAAGATTTTGGAAATGCATTGCGTCCGGATAGCTCAAGTCGGGCTAATGAAGCTAGTGTAAGTAAGACTAGTAGTTGTGATTATGTATTTAATGCTGGTGCTGAAAGTGGGAAAATTGGTAAAATGCGTTTTGTTTTTGGTGCTAATTGCCCTAATGTGTGTAGCTCCGGGTCGAATTTAAAGAATTTGGATGAGGGTGTTGTTTTTGGAGCTAATAAGACTCCCTTACCATCGAATTTGAGCAGTGGAAATGCTGGTTCTGTGGTTGGAGCTAATGAATGTAGTTCAAGTTCGGGGTTGAGTGGTGGAAATGGAGATTCATTGTTTGGAGCTAATAAGAGAAGCTCAATTTCGAATTTTGATAATGGAAATGGAAGTTTTGAGTTTGGAGCTAGTAATGATAGGCCAGATCAAGAAAATCGAGGTGTTATGTTTGGAGGTGAAAGGAGTAGTTTGCCGCCAAATTTGAATATGTTTGAAGCTGATAAAATTAGTTCCATAGCAAAAACGTATAATGGAAGTGTAGGTTCTGCATTTGGTTCTACTGAGAGTGGATCGACTTTAAAATCAAGTTTGGGAAATGGGAATGCTTTATTTGGTGCTAGTGGAAGTAACTCAGCAGTTAACATGAGTTTGGGAAAGGGGAATGCTGAATTTGTTGACATTTCAAGTGACTTGAAATTGAATTCAAGGTCAGGGCAGGGAAATGCTGTATTTGGTGCCAATACAAGTGAATCAACATTCAGTTCAAGCGGGGGAAGTGGGAGTTTTTTCTTTGGTGCTAGTAAAAGTAATTTAAGTTCCACACCAAATTTGGACCAAAGGGAATTTAGCAGAACAGCGGGACAGTCTGAAGCTGATGAGTCTAAGATATTAGATAATGGTAGTGTTGTTTTTGGTGTAGAGCAAGGTGAGTTGGCTTCGGATTCCGGCGTGAAGCAGAAAAGTTCTAGTAACACTAGTTCCACGCAATCAGCTGCTATTGATTTTGGAAAATTTAGTAATACAGGTTTTGTATTTGGCACTGACTGGAAAGTTGGTGGGAAAGAAGATCGTCCTCGTTTTGAGCCTGGGGCTAAGCAAAATGCTTCAAAATCTAATGCAGAGGCGGACAAGAGTAAAGTTAGAAGACGGACAAGGAAGTTGGACTTTGTGACCCTAAGCAATAAAATTAGAGACATGGGAAATGAGTTTCAGAAAGCTGACGTTAACGGTGTATTTCTGTTTGGTAATAGTAGCAAGGAGAAACCTAGTTCCAGTGGAAGTAATAGTAATAGTCATGAGACAAACCGGTTGGATGGAGAAAGTGCTGAAAGTGGCAACGCCTCCATGAAGTTTCCCTCTGATGCTATTATGTCCAATTTTAAGTTTGTGATTGGGAGCAGTTCCTCTCCTGGTAGTGCTGTTTACAAGATCCCTTTGTCTAAACTCTTTGACGAGATGAAGGGCTTGAACATAGACAACACTAAAGGTATAAGTGGTACTGACAAGGTCAAAGTAGTTGGTGGTAATTCATCTTTCACTACTGGTAACTTGTTTGTCTTTCAAAGTAAAGGCCAGACTTCTAATCAGACATCGGATTCGACTGGAAAGGTTTGCAATGGAAATATTCCTCCTCAAGACCAGACAGCATATGATTCCGATCTTAAAAAAACATCGTTCTCATCTCCAAACTCATCAAGTGCCACCATTCATGTCCAGCAAAATGGATTTGGTTTTGAAGCACCTCCTGCTCCTAAAATTGAGAATAAGGCCAATCTTGGTGCTACTACCACACCTGTAGGACCAGATGCATGTTCCAGAGAATTTAAGTGGAATACAAATGAATCTTATTCTTTCGGGACAAATCTATTTTCTGGGTTAGGGAAAAAGTTAGAATTCTCTGCAAAAAGTAGATGCTTGAGGGACAAAAGATCGAAGAAGACAAGGGGGAAGTCCAGGCAGCCAATTCTGGCCAAGCATTTGACTGAGCAGGATCGTATGTCCAAAGAAAGCAGTTCCCCTAATAATTTTGAGTCTCCTGGATGTTATTCACCAATGGATTCTTCACCTTACCAGGATACTACAGCTAATGCACGGGGTTCTTCACACACTTCTACTGGGACTGAAAATAGAGAGGAAAATGTCTCTGGTGCAAGACAAGGATTTGATATCAATGAAGTTGACAAGAAATCTGGAAAACAGGATAATGTCAGTTCTAAAGTTTACTGTGATGACAAATCATCTGCCACATCCTCTGCCCAAGATGGCTTATCAGCAATAAAGCGTCAATACAGGAAAAAATACAAGTTGAAAGTTGGTGATGGGCTGAATAGAAAAACTACAGTTCAAAAATCTGATTCTTTTTCATCCTCGGTTCAGTTTTCTCCAAATGCTTCCAATTCATCATGCATGGGTAAAGCACAGGTTCAAAGTGGAGTTGCTGCAAAGCCTCATAATAAACCTGATGGACAATGTGCTAAGCAGGATTCCACTGAGGGTGTCATGCATGAAGAGTGTGAGCAGTGGCGAATGAGGTGCTTCTTGAATCATTATAAATCACCTTTTCATATCTATGAAATGATTGACATATTCATCTTGTCCAACCTTTTTCTTCTGCTACAAGATATAAATAATCCATGTCCATTTTGATCACTGATCCATCCTTTTTTATTGCTCATTTTTTTCTTCCTTTTGGTTTTGTGCTGTATGTTCCCAAGTAGTTTCATATGAATGTCATTTTTGAAATGTATCTACTTAATGACAGGGGAAACCAAGCCTATAAGAGTAGGGATCTGTACAAAGCTGAGGAATACTATACAAAGGGCATAAATTCCATTAAACATAAAAATGCTTCTGGGTTCATCATTGAACCGCTTTTGTTGTGCTATAGCAACCGTGCAGCGACGCGAATGTCTCTTGGAAGGATGCGAGAAGCCCTGGAGGACTGTAAATCTGCTGCTGCTTTAGATCCCGGATTTCTCAAAGTAAAACTAAGAGCTGCAAAGTAAGGCTTCTCAGAAGTGCATGTTTCATTCTTCTTATGGATCACTTTTTCCTAATATTCATTCTTAAAATGTAATTGATGTTATTGGTCTTTTTTGTGTTGTTGCACATAAATTCGTGTATCCAGTCTTGCATGTCTGAACTTACATAGATGCTTTTGTCTTAATTAAAAGTTGATAACTTTTCAAAAGAGGTCCATTTGTCTTGTGTTCTGAAAGCCCCTAACATGGACCAGTAAGATCAATGCCCTTAATTCTGGAGCTTAATGAAGTATTTGTGGGTTTAACTTAGTTTACATTTTAGTTGAGGCTTTGGGTAATGTAGCATAATACCATTAGCAATTGATGTGCCATGTTTTATTGAAATATCTGTATGCTTAGTTCTGCCACTGCATTCTAAGCTTTCATAAGCTGACAGAGAATCATTAAGAATAAATTGGTACTCAGAACAGGATTGAGATGGTATTTTTAGGTTTATATTATATTGTCTTGTTGAGTAATCAGTTTTTAAAAGGTTTCATGTCTTATGTGCATGGTTTTGGTTTTTATTTGGGTGATATGAGGAAAAATCCACTGAAAAACCTAGCAATGGGCTTGTGTCCAAAGTTTTCAGCTGCCGTGTTTTGCCGTTTTGCATCCGTTGCTGAATGGCTCAAATAATTTTCATTTGCAGACTCTGAATAAACTCTTTAGTAGCAAATCAGTGTATGGGCTAAGAAAATTTAATAAATTAATGTCTAAGAAAATATTAAGTACTAATCAACATCTATGTTAAGGAAATTTGGTGTCCAAGTTAAACAAAAAACTTAAAGGAGTTTACTGCAGTGATAGACTTTAGCGAACTTACCTAGGATGGTGCCTCTTTGCCAGATTATGGGAATCAAGACTAAGGACTAAAAAGGTTTCCTGCAAATGATAAATCTGTGCCTCATTGCCAGTTTTAAGGAAATCAAGATTCCTTAGTTGAATTGTATTGTCCGCAAAATAGGCTCTGACAAATTGAATCCTGGCAAACTAGCACCTCAGCGATGAAGGATCTTAGACCCAGGTTTTTCTTATTGTAGTTGATTGTGGCCACTTGTCTTGCCCTGGTGTTTTACCGTGTAAAACTGATAGAAGAATGATTGTTTCATCCATTTGTTGACCTGTGGCTTATGTCTCAGATGGTTGGCTGGAGAAATGCACAAAACTGAAATGTCGTGCTTTATGCCTCTTCAAGCATGGAAATTGAGCGTATTATATTATAAGGGTTTTAAGTCCGTAAGTCTTAAACTTAGAATACTTTGTGGTTAAGAGATGGTCCTCCTCTTAACTGACTAAGTGCTTGCTTTTTTAAGATAGCCATGTAGACTGGTAGTTGCTGGATAATGGATACAATGTTCTTATTTCATAGCACTGTTGTATCTCTGTAAGATCTGACGGAGCTCATCTTATTAGAAGCTTGTTTGAGATAAATTCACACACAAAACAGCCTTAAGCTTATTGCATACACGACATTGTAACTACCATTTGTTCTTTAATTCAGTTGCGCATTTGAGGTTTACTATGGATCTCTGTTATTGAATTGCTAAACGAGCATTCTTTATATTATGGCCAGGGGTAAGGCAGATTACTCACTGTTCTTAGTTTATTGATCTGGTAGATTATCACTGGGGATAAGGTAAATGCTGACAGGTGTTTGTGGCGGTATGAGTGAACTAGGGGTAATGACTCATATCTTGCATCGAGGGGAAGCACTTGTCTGTAAATGATCTCAAGCTTGCTAGTTTATGAGCCTAGTCATAGGATTACCTCTTAGGGAAATCCCAAGCATTGAAGTTGCATCATGCTTAACAAAAAACTTAAAGGAGTTTACTGCAGTGATAGACTTTAGCGAACTTACCTAGGATGGTGCCTCTTTGCCAGATTATGGGAATCAAGACTAAGGACTAAAAAGGTTTCCTGCAAATGATAAATCTGTGCCTCATTGCCAGTTTTAAGGAAATCAAGATTCCTTAGTTGAATTGTATTGTCCGCAAAATAGGCTCTGACAAATTGAATCCTGGCAAACTAGCACCTCAGCGATGAAGGATCTTAGACCCAGGTTTTTCTTATTGTAGTTGATTGTGGCCACTTGTCTTGCCCTGGTGTTTTACCGTGTAAAACTGATAGAAGAATGATTGTTTCATCCATTTGTTGACCTGTGGCTTATGTCTCAGATGGTTGGCTGGAGAAATGCACAAAACTGAAATGTCGTGCTTTATGCCTCTTCAAGCATGGAAATTGAGCGTATTATATTATAAGGGTTTTAAGTCCGTAAGTCTTAAACTTAGAATACTTTGTGGTTAAGAGATGGTCCTCCTCTTAACTGACTAAGTGCTTGCTTTTTTTAAGATAGCCATGTAGACTGGTAGTTGCTGGATAATGGATACAATGTTCTTATTTCATAGCACTGTTGTATCTCTGTAAGATCTGACGGAGCTCATCTTATTAGAAGCTTGTTTGAGATAAATTCACACACAAAACAGCCTTAAGCTTATTGCATACACGACATTGTAACTACCATTTGTTCTTTAATTCAGTTGCGCATTTGAGGTTTACTATGGATCTCTGTTATTGAATTGCTAAACGAGCATTCTTTATATTATGGCCAGGGGTAAGGCAGATTACTCACTGTTCTTAGTTTATTGATCTGGTAGATTATCACTGGGGATAAGGTAAATGCTGACAGGTGTTTGTGGCGGTATGAGTGAACTAGGGGTAATGACTCATATCTTGCATCGAGGGGAAGCACTTGTCTGTAAATGATCTCAAGCTTGCTAGTTTATGAGCCTAGTCATAGGATTACCTCTTAGGGAAATCCCAAGCATTGAAGTTGCATCATGCTTGTAGTTCTACCAGCAATCAACCATCTGATAAGTTATTCCTGGGTTTTGGCCAAAAAATTCCTCTGTCAATGATTGACGAGTTAGTTGATTGATTGCCTTTTGTCTCATATAATTCTGTGTCCATCCGATGAGTTGTCCTATGAGATTTTGCAAATTCCTTGCTGTCGATTGCGAAGGAGGTAGTTAACTTGTTGCCCATGTACTTTTCCTGTTGTGACAACACTGAGACATAAATGTGCATGTAGAGGAGCTGCGGTGTCATTATTTTCAGTCACCCTTCAGATTATGTATGATACTCGTAGGTGCAGGTTGATGGAGATATTTGTAAATATTCTATAATTAGAAAGGTGTTACATTTGAACCTAGTCTTGAAGAGAACTAGGATGACCTGCTAATGAATGATGTTTTTTTACACATTCGAGCTACATAATTGGGAAGGCAAGGGTTAGAACAGGCTAGGGAAAAATATTGATTAATCCTGATGATGTACTTGAATATTAAGATGGTGACTGTTCAATTTTTTTGTATTTGTGCTAGTAATTCATTGTTTAAAAATTGCATCTTACAGTTGTCATTTATTACTCGGCGAATTCCAAGAGGCTATGTTATACTACAATAGTTGCTTGGAGTCTGGGAATGATGTATGCTTAGATAGAAGAATTATAATTGAAGCTGCTGATGGTCTACAAAAGGCACAGGTAACATATATTTTCTTGTTCGATGCTACTATTTTATGTTTTGGCTATAGCATACAAACTTCATTAGGTATTCTTTCTTCTTTTCTTTCTAAAAGAGAGGGGTGGGTTGTAATGATTATGGATGGTGGATATATGTGGTGCTTTTGTTTGTTCGGTGTGTTGATTATTGAAAGTCAGAAGAAAAGCACCACAGTTTAGTGAATGGAAATTTGGAGCTGTATTTATCCCTTTTATTCTCTCTACATGATGCAAGATGTGCTTTCTAGTTGTGTACATTTGCATTATCCATGTTCTCTTATGGGCAGGAAGAGTGGGTGTGCTCTCTATTTGTCTGTGTTTTCAGCAATACAGTTGTATGTGTCAGATTACATTCCCATATCGTATTAAGTAAAACTTTTTAACCCTTGCAGAAAGTGTATGATTATATGTGTCAGGCTGCTGAACTTTTGCAGCAGAGAACTTCTGATGCAGCAAACTCTGTTCTTACTAAAGTTGGTGAAGGTTTATCAATAAGCTGTTACTCTGAAAAACTACTTGAAATCAAAGGAGAGGCTCTCTTCCTGGTTTGTTGCTTCCCTAATACGTGATTTCCTTAGGCCTGTTTTTCTTTGTAAATTGTGTATTCTCATGATATTGCTAATTTGTAATTTGGCCTGTACATTCGCTTACTTGTGTATTGTGTGGTTAGTTGCGGAGGTATGATGAGGTGATTGAACTGTGCGAGCAAACTCTTCATACTGCTGAAAAGAACTTTAGTGCTATTGAACTTGCAAATGATGATGATGCTCAACGTACAAACTGTGTGAGCCTTTGGAGGTGGTGCTTGATGTCCAAGTCTCAGTTTCATTTGGGAAGGCTTGAAATGGCTCTTGATCTGATTGAAAAACAAGAGAAATTAACATCCACAAGTTACAGGTACTTCTGAATTTTTATATAAGAGATTTTCTTTTCCAGTTTTAAAATTAATATTCTGGTGGTTGGTTTGACTTGCATTGTTTAGGCCTGCAAGTGTGAATTGCGGATCCTCTATTCCTCTTGCTGCTGCTATACGTGAACTTCTACAAAGAAAGGTACGCAACCTTTCACTTTTGGTTGTTTCCCCATCTAGACACTTATTTCTTTTGCTTAGAATTATAAGCTGTTTCTTTTTCACAAATATGGAAAAGGAAAATGTTGACAATGTTTATTCTGGAGACCTTGTTTTGGTGGATTTTTTTTTTTTTTTTTTTTTTAATGGGGGTTGGGGGAGGTTCCTAGTTTTTCTTTTATACTGGAGACATAGAAAATGCCAAATGTCACTTATTCTTCATATTGGAGACTTCTTCTAGTTATTCTTCTTTGAGTGGTAGCCTCTGAAGGCGCTAGGAGTTCTCTAAATGTGAATTACTTCTGGTGTTAATATCAGCAGAAATATGTACTTGATCCATCCTTCATTTTGATAAGTATGTTAACCTCTTCGATAATTTTTGTTTGATTCAGAATCTTGGATGGAGTTGGCTATGAGTTTCCTGTGTATAATTGCTTAATCATGGCTTTTCGTTACTTTCTGTCTTTAACTGATTGAGTTCTAACTGACTTGAGTACTTTTGAATGATATGCAACCAAACATGTCTGAAAATTTTATACCCTTCGTCTTAACAATAGAAAGCGGGAAATGGAGCTTTTCAATCTGGGAAGCATGCAGAGGCTGTAGAGCACTATACTGCTGCTATTTCAAGTAGTGTTGTCTCACGTCCTTTTGCGGCTATTTGTTTCGGCAATCGAGCTGCTGCCCACCAAGCACTGGGTCTGATTTCTGATGCCATTGCTGATTGCAGTCTAGCAATAGCACTTGATGAAAATTACTTGAAGGTTAGCCTTTTTTAAGTTAGGCTAGGATATAGTCTTTTATTTGACCAAAAAAAAAATTACAGTTATTTCTGTTAGTTCTCTTTTATCCTGGCGTCTTTTCCTGGCTGTTTTTCTTGTTTGAGAAATATGCTACTTGATTTTTGGAGTAGAATTATGCTACTGGCTTTTCAGATTTGCTTGACTATGATTGAGATCACTCCGATGATGCATATTGTTTGTCAAAATTGCTGTATTCTATCTCTTAAATTTCTCCTGTAGTTGATAAACATAGGAGGTTAATATCTTCATAAGAGGTATTAATAATAAAGTCTTAGAATGCTTAATCCGCCAAATAGTTGTTCCTACAATGCTGAATTTTGTAAAAGACCAGCTTAGTACTGCTTGAACTCTAAATGCTAGAGAAAGGTTTGCTTCTAACAGCCCTTTCCGTAGCTTTTAGAATAACAGAGTCTGGACTTTACATCTTATTTTGCATGTGGAACAGGTTAGTCACTTAGGCATGGTACTGCTACATTTATATTCTCTTATTAATTGCTAAAACAAGCCGTTTCAATTTGAGATGTCAAATTGTTACTATCGACCAAACCTTTTTTTTTTTAATAAAAAAAGGGTAAGGTGGGATGTCACATTCAATATTTGTAATGCAAGAAGAAATTAAGAACATACAAAGAAGCAGAAGGCTGCTGCAATGACATATAACATTAGGATCTATACTATGATTAGGTTGTGGTAATTGCAGTCAGCAGATTGCTTCAAAGCTGTGACTATGCTGTCAGCACCTTTATCCGTATTTTTCTCGAACTTCACTCTGATATCGAAATATTATAAATTCTTAACGTGGTTAATCACTTTAAGGTTATGGGAGTTGATGCTTGTCATCTCTAGTTATGCTCCAGGTTCTCATCTTTCGTGAACTTGCACTCTAAGATTAAAATGTTGTTGGTTGTTTAAGTGGTTAATCACTTAAAATAATTAATGGCTATCATTTTTGGTTATGCTTGAGGTGCTCCTTTGTTTTACCTATCAACCTCGGGATCCCAAATGTTGGCAATAGAAAAGTTGGGATTCCAAGTTTTACATCTGTGCTTCATTATATACACTTGTCTTTCATTGTGTTTTGTTTTAGTCAGTAGGTTTCTTACCTAGGCAGATTTTGCAGGCAGTTTCGAGGAGAGCCACTTTGCATGAGATGATTAGAGATTATAAACAAGCTATCACTGATCTCCAGAGTCTTATATCTCTTCTAGAGAATCAATCACAGGTAAAGGCTCAATCATCTGGGAAGCAGGATGGATCAAATGAAAGCAACCGGAAGGAGCTAAAACAAGCTCGCCAGCGTCTTTCCTTAATTGAAGATATGGCCAAGAAAGGAACTCCCATGGATTTTTACCTCATACTGTGAGTTCTTTTTGTTTTACCTAAATTTTCTTCCTATTACAAATGAAACCTCTCTCTTTATTACATGCACACATGCACATGCATGCATTCATATATATATATATATATATATATATGTTTCGGGTATAAATATGCAGAGTCTCTTGAGACGTTCAGAAATCTTTCCTTTACCATGTTCCAGATATTTTTCAGTTTTGCCTCAATAAGCTTTTATTGTTTTGTATTCCTTTTACCTTGTGGCACTTCTTGGGGTCTAATAAATTAAAGGATTTCCCACGAAGCCCCAATTTACTTTTGTGTGGAAAATGTTTATGCAAGTACAGAAAACACATCCTAGAAATTTATGTAGTTGCATGTTCTAACTAAATGGAGAAAACTACAATTAGACTGCCAAGCCCAAATTGGAGGTTACGGCATCTCTTCATTAGCACGTCACATGGTAGATATTTTGCAGCTTTAAGCTCACTTGCCTTTTTCAAGGTTACAATAAATTCCTAAATCTTCTGCATGCTTCATTGTTCAGATCTTGTGGATCAGTAAGAAAGTTGCTAAAGTGGTTTGTTGCTTGGTTTTCTAAAACTAAAGGAAAGCGGCATGGCCCAATTTACCCATCTTGTATTTTACAGCATCTTAGAAAGAATTATGCTTCCTTCTGCTCCACCGTAATACTCCTGAAATGCTGTGAGAAATGGCAGTGTTTAAGATTCTTAAGATATAAATGGTGGTGTTGTAGATTCTAATCCAAGCAAATGGAAACGTTAAGAAGAATTATGCTCCCACAATCGCTTGTAGGATATAAATGGTGGCGTTTTAGATTCTATAGAATGCAAATGCAATAATATCACTGAGAACCTATACACTATATATATGCATCTCCTCAACCATACTGTTTATTAGCTGGAAATTTTATCTACGTATCATTTGTGCTTCTGTTGAAAGACATCCAATGACCTGTCCGCTTTGGTGAAAGATCTGTAACTTCATTTCCAGTAAAAAAAAAAAAAATATTTTTCATTATGTTTCAAGTGCACCCCAAAAGAAAAAGGCAGTTAATTTGTTCCTTGCGAAATGATTTTTTGTAGTAGACTTGTGTATATTAGTGTCTTCTTTTGTTTTTGTATTTTGGAGGTCAACTTTTAGGTGTAGCCCGTGGGGGTGGTTATGTGTATCTTCTTGTCTCAGTTTGTGTCTCCTGATGTTGCCTTCAAAATTTGAGTCTATAAACCCCAATTTGTAGGTGTATCCTGTGGGGGGTGCTTATGCGTATCTTCTTGTCTCAGAGTCTGCGTCTCCTGATGTTGCCCTCAAAATTTGAGTCTATAGACCCCAATCTTCACCTAGTGATGCTTGCATGACTCTTTGGCACTTAATAAAGTTCTTCACTCACAGGGGAATTAAAGCATCTGATTCGGAATCTGACATCAAGAAGGCATATCGAAAGGCTGCTCTTAAGCATCATCCAGACAAGGTCTTCAAGTCATTCTGTTTTTTCTTTGGCTGCATATTGGTTGGAGGATTAGTATTTTCATTCATCTGCTAACTTTTTGTGCTAATATAGGCTGGCCAGTACTTGGTAAGGAGTGACGCAGGAGATGATGGGGCAGGATCATTGAAGGACATAGTTGAAAAGGTTCATGAAGATGCTGACAGGTTATTCAAAATAATTGGTGAGGCATATGCTGTACTTTCGGATCCCAACAAGGTAGGCCACTTCCATATATATTAGATAAGCGTGCTTTGGACTGAAGTTTGTCTATCATTAGTATTCTCGTGAGATCTCTTTTCAGCAGTTCCATCGTTTCCTGGAGAAACTGTTCTTTCATATCCTCAGTCTCCTTTCAAATGGTAGTGGCCCAATTTAAGTACACAAGTCCAGATATGATTTTAACTAGATAGGTGTCCTTATATTGAAGGATCTTTATATATGTATAATATTAGGAAGGGTAAAAAATCTCAGCGGCCACTAAACAATTGGTCAGATCATCTTTTGGCCATCAAACTATTTTTGGTTAGTAATTGGCCACTAAACAACTTAATCAGTAAACTTATGATCATTTAGTCGATAATTGCTCTTAATCTGTAAAATTAGCAGTTAATCTGTGAAATAGGGTTGCGTAGTTGTTGGACAAAATTACCCCGCACTTTGTCACGTGTACAGCTAATTTCACAGATTAAGAGTAATTATCGACTAAATGGTCACGGATTTACTGATTAAGTTGTTTAGGGGCCCGTTACTGACGAAAAATAGTTTGATGGCCAAAACATGATCTGACCAATAGTTTAGTGGCTGTTGAGGTTTTTTGCCCTATTAGGAATGGCTATTCTACTGCACGGTGTAGGCATAATTGATCCTTATGAAAAAGAATTGTGAGATTCAAGATATACCATCTTCAGGAGCCTGCCTAGCATGAACTTGTACATTGTGAGCTATAGCTGGTCTATAGATGATGATTGAATCTAGAGCTTGTATGCAAATGGTGTCTATATACCCTGCTACCTTTGCTAAAAATTGCATTGCAGAACAGTTGGTGACATAAAACCTTCGGAATAGCATTATGATGTTCAGAAATAGCACTTACGCACATGCTTTGGAGGGCAAAGAGCTTTTTATCGAATTATTGTTCTAAGTAACCAGTTATCAGGGCTGGTATCTTTACACTTTCATGCCGAATAACTTACACCACTATTGCTTGTGCAGCGGTCGAATTACGATTATGAAGAGGAAATTAGGAATTCTTGCGGTTCTCCATCTGATTTTTACAGTTCTCCATATGATAGAGGGCAGTGGTCTGGGAGGAATTCTAATTTTTCCAGTTCGTTTGAAAGAAGCAGAAGCGGGCGATCTTGGCATGGCACATGGAGATCATATGATAATTCACATTCTAGATGGTAAAAATGCAGTGAAAGGCATCTTTGATATCCAATCAAGTTGATTCAGGGGTTGAGGATGGTTGACAACATAAATAGCTTGGAATCATTGGACTTGATCATCATACAAGGTGGTGGCAGTCTGAATTTGGATGTGGCATCGTCTTGTATATTTTTATACTAGAATTGTGACCTGTTAAGATTTCAAATCAAAACATTAAAATTATTGTTGTTGAAAAAAAAATTTATTTCAAAAGAAGAGGTTAAAAGGTAAAAATAGTATCTCACTTTTGCTGCCAATCTCTATGAAAACGTGTTATTTAAAACAAAAGCAAAGGACAACAAATTTTTCACTAATGGAAGGTATGCAATGGCACACGCTCACTAACTTGGAAAATTTCTTAAAAATTTTGTTTAATTATCATATATTCTTGTCACTTGCCTGTGAAATTTGTCCCATCTTAAGAAGTTCATTTCTTTCGTCATATTGTACCCTAAGAATTTAGTATATTCTCAAACTACTTGTGATTTTATGAATACCAAAAAAAATTAAGTTGTACCTATGGTATTAGTATTAGATAACATTTTGTTAAAATAACTACATTTGAAAAAAAAGGAAAATAAAACAGCAAAAATAAATAAAGGATACCCAAATAATATATAACAAAACCAATTATAGAACGTCCAAAAGATGAAGTTAAACACATACACCATTACCTTTCTTCTGGTTTCTTCTTGGCTGCCTGCCTATCTCATGCTTTTAACTGGTGCTGTTCTCTCCTTTCCTTTTGCTATACTTTTCTAATCCTCTTACTCTTACTCACCTTTATCCTTATCCCGCCTCTTCCCCTTCCCTCACCTTTATCCTTATCCCTATTCCGATCCATCCCCCATGCCTTATGGATCTTTATCCCTATGTCGACTCATCACCACTATCCTATAGATGTATTCGCGTGGCTTCACTATCATTATAATTTCTATACTTTATCTCATATTTTTTATAGGTGTAACACTGATAATGATTTAAGTAATCATTCTGGCTTTTTAATTATGCCTGGTTATGTAACCTGTGCTTTTGTTAGCTTTGTCACCAGACCAGGACAAGAATCCAGGCATCAAAACCTTGTCCATGTCGGTGTCTCGTCTGGATTCTGGACGTGTTCAGTTCCCATATAACATAACAGCAAATTGGACAACAGGAGTAGAGGTTGATGAAGGGACTCCAATGCCATGATTCTGAGGTGGCCCGGCCGTGTTCTATGATTTCAACGAGTTTCTTTGCATGACAGAAGTCGCCGCTTTTCATCAAAGTCCAAGAAACCAAACAACATTATTCATTGCAGAAGCAGCAAAAAGCATGGTTACAACTTACAGGATGGTCCAGGCAGCAACCAGCTTGCTAACGTAATTCTTGAAGATTTGGGGTGATGGAGTGGTGGATTTCCATTTCCAGGTCAAGCTAAGGGTTGCGGAATCATTACATAATATTTAGTAAAAAAAAAAATGGTATAATTTTAGTCTGAACGCAAAATTTTGTCAACTCATATGACTAATATTCACAACTATACTAAAATTGTACGAGTTTGCTCCAAAAGTTATAAAAATTATACAATAATTACACTAAACTGTCAACTGGAGAAGTAACTCTGATTCTAAAACTGAGAGGGCCTGAAGGAAAAGGCTTGATCGAAAGTCAAACAAAAATTCTCACATCACCAGCAAATGTCTCTTAAAAATTGAACCTGAATCTTGGGCACTTCAATGTTTCATAACTAGGTAATATGGGTGTTATCATCTTTAGATTGTCACCGAATGAAAGAATGCTATAGTTGAAGACTGAACAACCCACAAATCAAAATATAGACCAGAGTCTATGATTGTCACTGCCTGGAGATCCCACACCAGGGCAACCCTTATGGCCATTGATCAACTGGCCTATTCTGAAGAGAAAATATTGCTAGGGGAACACGAGGACTTTAGACATTAATTGATTGAGTGGTACCAACATCAAATTTGAAAAATTCCAGTTGTAACAATTTTAATTAAGGATGTATATTGCGAGTAGTTGTGACTAATAACCGGAAGCAGCTACACAGGGTTTACGAACTTCCAACTGCCTTTTAAGGAAAGAAAAGACATTGGATACATTAAGCATTTCAACAAGATCCAAAACTCAGCAGCTAACAAGAATGAACTCAAATGTATCAGAAATTTAGACAAGGCTCAGCGAGCTGCCTGCTGTGTTTGAGCGTGTTCCAAAAGTTGACTGACTAACTTGTAAGTACGCCCGGAAAGAGCTTTGGTATGGTCAATGAGCTGCTCATACCTGCAAGGAGGCAAAATAATGAGGTGATAAGACAAGGTCATGAAAACTTAAAAAGGAGATGATAAAAATCGGTTGAAAGCAGAAAAAATATTAGCATCAGAATGCTAGTCTTATCTAGCAGAACTTACACATTAGGCTGGTTTGGTTCCATCAGAACGGTTCCTGTCTTGGAATCAATCTTGGCATCAAGTTTCGAGGTTCTAATAAGATTCACTATCCATCTCTCCGCTTCCTCATAGTTCAAATTTAGCTTCTCAGCAAGTACTCTGCCACAATTAACATATGAAAATTGGAAGAAAAAAAAAAAAGAAGATGATTCAGAATCCATCAGAGATTAAAACAAACAGATGCAACTCGAAAAGCAACTGATCATGAGATTTCTTTTCAGAACACTCCAAGGTTCAAAACTCTCGTTCAAAGCACACATCAACTGCACAAGAGTCTCAAAATAAAACATTATAGGTGGAAACCCTCTCCTCTTTCGGTTATTGTAACAACCACAATAGGAGGACAATGTTGACTTCCGAATTGAAGGTGAAAAGTCAAAGTTCTAAAGTTTTCTTCCTAAGTAAATCATCTGTGAAGTCCCAATGGCTACGACCACCAACCAAAACAAGTATAAAGAAGAAAGCAAAACGCATTGCAAGCATATATATACGCTACACAAAAACGTCACTACTCTAATTATCTAAGTATACAGTGCAAACATTCATATCTTCATAGTAAGACGACAGTCATGGAGATAGACACAAGATAGGGAAGCATGGAGCATGGGAAAGAACCAACTTAGGGGTCATGAACTCTATTAATCAAGTGAGAACAACAATCAAAATCATACACATACCCCATGTCAATCCGCTGATGAATACGGCAGTAGGTCTCAAAGATAAAAAGCCGTGCATTTTCAAGAAACTCATCTCTCAGTGGAACTGACGCAAAGTTGCCTTCCTCAGCCCGTTTACCAAGGAATGGATCATTTAGAATAACCTGCATGTAGCATCTACGTCTGTGAAAAGCATATTAAGAGTAGCTGGGTAACTGATATACACATTCTTGATGTTGAACTGCAACTTGACAACATTACAAATGTAAAAGAGATCATTAAATTAGTTTAAAGATCAACTTCCGGGAGATATTGAAAATAAAAGTTGCCCATTAGAAAACATATCCACATTGTGTTTTGTCTTTTCCTGGAATGAGTTAGCACCAGTCATGCCAAGTCAAAAAACAAAGACAACTGATAAATCAACCACCGATAATAGGTAACAACCCTAAATGGCCTAAAGCCTGAAAATATAAACATAAAACAAGTAGTTGATATACTTGTGCAAACATTCCCTTAAAAGCACAATGACAGACAAGTATTTGATAAACCATATTAATAATAGGAAACAAACTTAAGACGACCGACAATAACAGGATACCACATGGTGTATGCAATACTTACTTCTTCACACTCTCTCATCTTTTGTTGAGCTGCATCAAAGTCATATTTGACGTATACACATGCCAAAAACTCTGTAATGGGATCCTCATACGAATACTGTTCTTGCTGAATAACCTTTATAAAATCTTTGAATTGAGGTCTTCTCCTTTTGTTAACAACAAATGCAGTAGCCAGATAACGTAAAAGATGGGGAGCACTTGTTTGGATGGCATTTAAGTACCTGAAAGAGAATGCTTCATGATCAATGAACCGCTCGACGAGAACACAAGTTAAAGTACAAGGAAATAAGAACTTTCAGCACCAATTTACTCAAGGATAAAAACCAAAAGACTTCTCTGAAAGTCGATGTCCATTAGTTACCCCATTGTAGTTAAAACTATGAAATTAACCAGCTATTCTAACACCAAATATTACTCAAGGAGGTAACCAGCATGCTTTTGTCCATGCTAGTCAGAGTTAACCAAAAAAGCAAGGATTAACTTGCATGTTTTATTTTTGACAAGACAGTAAAGCTATCAATTTTAAAATATATTTAGACATCATCTCATACATGATCATGAAACACAGGATGACCTTTTCCCTTTTCTTTCTTCTTCCTCTTTTTTTTTTTTTTTTTTAAATAAGATTAACGAGGCCAAACCTTGAGATGTTTTGGATTTGCCTATTACGATATACAATTGTCATGAGTCGAGACACAAATATTTCTTTTCCATAGGCCCATCAAAAAGAAATCCTCAAAACAACAGGCTTCAGCATATTTGATAATCTATCATTTTAATGGAGCTGCAGTGGACTAATAGAAAGGCCCTTTGATGGATACCTAATCCGCTTAAAAGGAATTCCTAAGCCCATGACATGCAATAAGATACAAAAGAGGAGGAAAATTAAAAAGTTCAGTTGGGACATCAAAAGATACTGAGACATTTAATTATTATATGAGGAATGCAAATACCCTAAAAATCCAGGTACGAAAAAAAAAGATGGCTGACATTATTCAAGAAAGTCTTTAGTGACAGCAAGGACAAAAGCAAACCCCTCCCAAAAAAAATTAATCTGTGTGCCTGTGGTGACTCTTGTTTGTATACATATTAAAAAAAAAAAAGTTTTCCTGTACAACGGCCCATATAGATATGTATACATATCAGGTCCGTCTTCGTAAATGTTGAAACTATAAAACTTTATCAGGTCTGTCCTTGCCAATAGATTGACCAGTCGAGCAACAGCCATATACTTCTATAAGCCACACATAAAATTCAATGATGTAAATTTCACACTTATCAGCTTGACAACTCAATTAAAAAAGAAATAGAAAACATAGACATGTAGCTAAAACACAAAAATTTAGCTCATATTGCAATACTAGTAAATAAAAGCAACAAAAGCTAAATCTGTCATACTTGTCCTGATTAAATAGGTCAATGATCTGAGTTCTCCCATTGTCATGGTTAAAGAAGATGAACAGACTCCAGTGCATTAGCCATATTCTGTTCTGAACTTGATTCAAAGGAGATGAGAAACTCTGCATGATAAAATAGCCACATCTATAATCAAATAACTACTAGTCAAATCAACCAACATGTACAAATAATGCTTTGAAATCAACAATCTATACCTTTGAGTCAATGATTTCCTTCACACGGTTAAGTTCGTCAAGTGCAATGTCCCAATTCTGCATGAGGATTTCAGCTGCTAACTTCCCCCATAATGCACTAAGGCTTCTTTCACTGTTTGTGCACAACGTCCTGTACAGATACAGATAATCAGCAGCACCAGAGTAGTTTCCACATTCAAACTGAAACTTGGCATACTGATACAATGCCTCTATTTGTTCTGGACCAATCTGTAGGACAATGTGCCAACAACATTGATTATTAGGGATGGTAATAAATAAACTTCTTCACATTAAGATAAAAAGGCAAATGGAAAAGTAGGAAATATAAATCTACTTTTTGAAAAAGCCACTTGTTAGGCGAATATAAATCTCATTAAAATGCACTGACCCAGCTGCCCACACCCACACGCACGCACAGAGAAATAAAGAGAAGGAAAAGACATTCACAGCCACAAATTATCTGCTTATGCTTTTATCTCCAGAAGTCAGTGATATTTTTGATTCATTGATGATTGACCATAAAAGCAAGCAGTCCATTATAATGAATGATCATTGAAAATTATATCAAATGTACATATCAGTCAAAAAAGACATTCCATGCTATATACTCATCCTATCAGTCAGAAACGAAATCATCTTCAGCATGTGTCCCAGAATTGCTCTTTTTCCTCTGTTTGTTCACCTTTGATTTCCAAACCAAGTAATTGCATTCCAAATATTATAACGCTAATTACACTTCTGTACACGGTACCAGCTACAGAATGTAGAGAAGAGGATCAAAATCATCTGAAAAACAAAAATACCTGGTACCGTTCATTGAGCATCTGGAGATTATACTGCTTTTCAGCCCTTAACTCCTGATATGCGTTTTCATTCTGCAAAAAACTAACCAAAGGAGATGCTCCCTCCTCCAATGCTTTCAATCTAGCGACAACCTCAGCTCTCCTGTCCACCATATCTGAAAACACCAAAAGTTTATTCACCAAAAAAGCAATCTCAAACAAGCATTAAAGAGTATGCACTGATGACCAATAAATTCCAACCATGAACTCTATTAATCGTATACACATGCACGCAACTGCAGCCCCCTCACAAAACCAGATATAGAATATAAAAAGGCAAAATATGATATCCAACAGCAGGCAAATCCCAAAAAAAAAATCCCAATTACTGATTACGTCAAGTACAGTAAAAGGACCTTGAAACCACTGAAAACAAATGGGAAGCAAGAGAGCCCGTG